TTTAAAGATATTTTGAGCCTTGAAGACTTCATTAGTTGTGGCTCCTTCTTTAGTTGAAGTGATAGAAATCTCGTAGACGAATCCAATTTCGTTATTTGAACCATCAACAAGAAAGTACGAAGAAAGAATGTTTAAAACCGAAACTCTAAAAGAGTGCAGAATATAAATGTAGCACGGGTACCACCACCTTATGAACTCAAACAAAGCTCTGAACACAAAATCCAATTAACCACATCCAGATTGAACAATCAAATCATAAAAGATTTAACCACTTAATGTAATCAAACAATTATCCATGTACTTGACGACACATGTAATGAGCAAATTACATACTCAACTACGAACAAAACCATGAAATATATTACTATATAGTATAGGACAAATTCGTAACCAAGGTAACATGCATGCAAAACACATAAATCACCATGCCATTTTCAATTCAACTCATCTACGACAATAGACAAACCCAACAAGGTTTCCTACGACCTAAAGTCACAAAAACTCGAGAAACAAAGCAATCAAACATGCTAAACCAATCGACTCTTAAAACAAAAGACAATATGAAGATTAGTTTGAAAACAATTAAATCATGCAAAAGCTGAATATGATAAACGGTTTACTCTAAGAACCAAGTCCCGTTAGGTCCAAAGAAAGAAAGAATTTACTAATTATACAACTTTTTCCAAACAACGAGAAATGCTCATTGTAACAAAAACCACAAAAGTTTATAAACTCATTGATTTACTCAATTATTCGACTCCATCTTGACACACTTAATGAGAGAATTTGGCCACCTATTTATTGGCAAACTTTTCTTGCTCTCCAAGACTTAAAACCTAAACTTAAGGATAAAGAAAAGGTCACTTACCCCTTCTACTACTCGATCCAATATACAGAAAGGAAAGCCGCCAATTTTGACGTAGCCAATTACTTAACTTAAGCAAAGTAATTAATTTTACTTCTTTTAATGGTAAAAGACACAAATACCCTTAATGAATTACCTTCCGAGGCTCTTCATTTGACCGACCCCTTAACTAAGTGTAACCTTTATGGTAAACTATTTTATTGACTCTAGGTAAATAGACCTATTATCTATTTATGGACTATATTATTTAAATAAATACTTAAATAAATATTTCCTGCTCGATTCTTTCTCTTCTTTTGGCGCGCACGGCTCTATTCAAACCATCAAGCTCCAGTGATATCTTTTACACATTTGAATGTGCATCTTCAATGTCTTAATGACGCTTATTCTTTGGAACAAACTCATTTGCATCGAGCTCAACAACATCACTTGAACTTCCATCACTTGAATCATCCTAATTTTCAGCAAAATCATCACTTGACTCTTTTGATACTTGATCTTGATGATTAAATGATTCTTCTTCCTCATTGCTCTCGCTAGAATGTTGAGGAGACAATTCCATCTTTGAAGGCCAACTTATTATGGCAAACTTTCTTCGAGTTTTGAAAGAAAATAATCTTGGTCCACCAATTGACAAAAACACATTTTATTATTTCATTCGGTTAGCACTTCGATGAGAAGCACCATGATTCTCATCATGAAGCCCAATACCTTTTTGTGAGTTAGAAGTCTAATGGGAGCCGCCTTTTTATAATGTGAAATTGGTTCTTCTTTTTAAGCGGTTGGCTATTTGGAACAAGAGTATTTCTTCAGTTTCTTTTTCTCTAACTGTCAACTAGCCCCTTACTTTTCTAGCCACTTTAATTTAAATCAAATACTTTGAAATGCCTTATAAAATTATATTATGTGACTAAAAATATTGGTATATACAAATTCTCCAAATCAAAATTATTTTCTAAGTTTTTTTTTTCTTTATGTTTACATATCGTTAGAAGTTAATACACGCAACTGCATGTACTAACCCATAACTCGTTTAAACTTTTTCTTTTAAGTTGTTTGATAAAATAATTTCCGAAATTTTCGGGACATTACAAAGTTAGATAGGTAATGTGGAAATCTTTTTTAAAGAAAAATGGCAAGTGGTGGAGTAAGATACTTGCAATGCGAGAACTAATCATTAAATATGTTTTGACTTAAAATCATTTAATCATATATTTGAAAATTTTAAGAACAAAACTAACTTGATTTTTTGAAATTTTCTTTCGTTGTTTAAATTTGTTCTTATTTTATCCCCATGCTCATTTGATTTTCATTAATTTTGGATTTTCCAAAAGGAATATTGATTTAAATTGTATTTATAAAAGTCACCAGCACGGACCCCTAATTCAATTTTTCAAAATCTTACTCCAATTTATGTGTTTCTAAAAATAATATAAACTAGATGCTTGGCCCGGGCAGATGCCCAAGCGCCCCCTCTACTTTAATTTTGTATTAATAGATAAATGAATTCTTGATTTGGAAAAAATAAAATAGTTACACATTTGTTTTTTCCCCTTTGTTAGCTAAAAATAAAAATAAAAATAAAAAAATCATCTGTAAAAGGAGAAAAAATATTAAAAAGTACAACGATGCAGAAATCATACAAAAGAATGTGGAGTAATAAAGGTGATAAGTTTATGAGTAAATTTAAATGCTATCTTAATTTGATTGATAAATGATAAATGTTAGGAGTTAATATTGTGTAGATATTTTTGTAAAGTAGCTTTTGTTTATCCGGATAAGAAGTTTATTTTTTTGTTCTTTTAAAAAGAGATGACACGTGCAGAATGGTTAATGCAAAATGGTGCATTTGGAACCAAAATTTTTTAATAAGAAGTTGCCACATAAACATCCTGTATTCTGCTTTAATAGGGTAAAAGAGATAGGTTAAATCAGGTAGATAATGAAAAACAAATAGATTAATAAAATGCGTTGTAAGGTAAGGCATTCACCGGGTAAAATGTAATGCAAATAATATGATTCAACTTAAGGTTATTTGGTCCTGTGTTTTGACAATTTTTATTTTTTTTAAAAATAACTTGATCCTTCCTTTTTTTCATTAACCAATTGATGTATGTCCTTATTTCATCTTCATGTTTATAACATATTTTTACAAGTTTAAGATTAAGAATAACTCAAATCTTTCCAAAACAATTCCTTAAGTTGGTTCTTATTTCAATCATGTTCATTTGTTTTGCATTTTAAATTTATAATTTTTTTTGAAACTTTGATATAAATTTAATTTTTATATGTATTTAGCATAGGTCGATTTTCAAAAATCAACTTCAATATTTCGTCTCTTTAATAATTACTATATGAAAAGATTAAACATATCAAAACGATGAGATGTGAGATAAGGAATTGCAGAGCGAATGTTATGCTATGAGTATATTATTTCACATTTATCATATTTGTATCTTCAGAAGACAAATGTTATACGGTTTTAAAAATTTTTTCAAGATGGGCCTATAATGTAATTTCTGAAACCTAACTCTATTAATTGTACCTTTTCAAAAAAAAAAAAAAAAAACTCTATTAAGTCTAAATATCATCAATTTTGTGATTTTATTTGGTCTCATCCTTAGTTATTACTAAAATTTTCTTTTTGTTACCTATTAAATGTCTCATTTAAAGTATTACCACGATCATCTGATTTGTATTTATAAGATTCTTCATTTAAAATATTTTTAAAAAAATTATTTTAAAATTCTCCATATACTTATAAAAAAGGTACGAGGAAAAGTTTTTAAGAAAAATGGCAATGAAGTGGAACATTCACATGGAATGTGTTAAACAACAACTATGATGGTCATTTGAATATTTTAAACAATAATTTGAATATGTCTAAAAATTATTTCCTACTTTTGTTGTTTTCTTATTTTATCCCAATGTTCATCTACTTTGTATTTTTATAATTTTTACCATATTTTGATATAAGTTATATTATTAAATTCACCAGGCACCATAGTTCAATTTTTAAAATCAACTGTTATTTTTATCTCTTTAAGAATCATATACACATATTAAAATTTTCGCAATGAAAATGTTATGCAATGATTATGATTTTAGTTAATGTCGTATCATCATATGTTTGGATACATGTTAGAACAAATATGACTTGATTCATCTTTATTTACTATTACTTAATTGATCTTAATTATTATTTTCAGTTCTTTGTTTATCTTATTTGCTTTTTTAATTAAAATTGTACATGAGGATTTTAACATAATATATTGTAAAATAATTTTTAATTAGCACGACGTTATAATTTAGATTTTGAAATGTAATCCAAATTTTGTGTGATCTATGAAAGTAATCAATTTTATGATTTTTCATCTGACCCTCTCCTTTATAATTTTTGGAACTTTATTTTCTTATAGTTTTACTTTGTTTATTAGGTCATAACTACTTTAAACTCATTCAAAGCTTACAATTGGAGAAGTAGCCTAGCTCCCTAGCCACATCGTGGTTCACGTATTATATAAGGTTACATTTTTTAAAATGGGTAATTTAATTATTCAAATCATAAACTTTTCAGGGGCCAACAATTGAAAAAAGTATTCATCCCTTATATATCACCCGACAGACAAAAGGTTCCCTTTCAGAACCAAAAAAAAGAAGAAAAAAAGACAATTGCCATTTACAATCAGTTTGTTATGACAATTACTAAGAACTCATATTAGTCTCTATCACGTGAATAAGTTACCTGGAACGACATGTCTTCACTCATGACTTACTATTGCGTTTTGCAAAATAAAATTCAAAGATGATCTCATAAAATTTTTTATTAAAAACAATGAATGTAGATAATTAGATAATTTAATCTATAAACGATAACACTATTTATTAATTTTATCAATACCAGAAAAAAAAGTTTTAGACATTTTACAACTGTTTTCAAGTATTTTAATCTTGAAATCAATATTTACAATACTCAACGTCTACACATATAATAATTAAAAAAAAAAACTATTTTGACAAAAGATAAACAAAAAAATCGCTTTTAATGTAAAAATTAACAAAAAGAAAAACAAACTAATTTGACACTTAATTATATGTTACTATTTGCATTTTGCAACGCATATGGATAAAAGAAGATAACATAAAAGCCCACATGAAAATTGCTCCATTCTCAACCAGAAAAAGATCCCTACTTTGAACACTTCTCACTCAGAAATCATTCATTTCATCCATCAACCATGGCTTCCTCAATTGCAGCAACCCCTGCTCTCACTTTATCTTCAGCTTTATCCCAAGAATTCAACTCTATCATCCCTTCTTCTGTTTCTTCTTCCACCAAGCCTTATCCACTCTGTTTTAATCCCGCCAAGAGCATTTCCCTTTTCCCGTTAGTGCTTCAGTCCAGAGGAAGAAGACCCTCATTCGGCCATTGGGTTTCAAATGATGGGTCCTTGTCAAAATCTTCTTCTACGGTGGTGGCGGCAGTGGCTGAGGTCACCGAGGAGGTGGAGCAAGAGGGTGGGGAAGACGATGCCGGTGGCGGTGTGGCCGTCGCCGCCCCTACTACCAAGCCTAAGAAAGGAAAAGCTGCTCTTCCTCTAAAAAGAGATAGAGTAAGTTCACCATTTTTTTAATCCATAATTATGCTTGTTCAGATAATTTTCTGCTTCATTTTCTGTGGCAGATTGTGGATTCCTTTTACTTTTATGTATTGGGTTTCTCTTGTGGGAATTTCTTTGCAAGAAATAGCATGGTTAGTTGTAATTCAGGATTGGTTTGAGTAACCATGGGAGATGTGATAGCGCTCCCTCCTTTACTTTTTTTTTGGGTGTTGTTTATGAATGATTAATCCAGCTTTATGGTTTATCAATTTTTGAGCATTCCAGTTAGAAAGTGATAGAATTTGAATACTTGAGCAATTTTCCTGTCTTTGGCTGTTTCAAAGAATGCCGAGATCATTGGTTTTGTTCTTATTGTTTGATCCTTAAATTGCTTAGTCATTATCAGTTCCCGCATAAAGCATTTGCCGGAAACTCTGGCTACTGAATGCATTTGGGACGCCTTTTTATTTGTACTGAATGGACCTACTTGATTTTCTATGGTATTTTGGTTCCAGGTTGGGATTCTAGTTTTGTGCTTTATTAAGTGTGCAATTTACTATAAGTTGTACCTCAGACAGGAAAATTGACCAATTACCCTTTCAAACTGTGTTTGTGGAATAACAGAAAACTGGGTTGGTTTCAAACGTTTAATATTTGAATGAAGTATGTATGAAAAGTGAAGTATCTCCGGCGTTACTTGAGACTTAATGGGACTTTATCACTCGCATCATCCTGTACCCATGCATCTGGACGAAATGAAAAGTTTTTCAGTTTTGCCTTTTATTTTTCCGATAAAATTTAAACTCGTACCTCAATCCAATCTGTAAGTTTAGAGAAAATCAATGTTTGCTGTCTGATGTTTTGAAGCCTAGGTTGTTTTTTGTTTTCTGATTTCTAGTATTCCAACCACATGATGCATGTAACTATTTCTGCAAAAATAGATGTAATATGTGCAATTTACTCCTATCGTCTGTCCAGCATCTTTCTTTTTGCAACCTAGGCTTTCTCCTGCTGTTTTTCTCTTGTAAAAAAGTGGTGATAACCGTAAATGCTGATTATAGATGTACGAAATGATTTGCCAACTTCTTATTATCATTCTATATGATGACTCAACATTCTTTGAGGTTTTTGAATTCAGTGTTTTGTTTCTTTAATAGTAATTGTATGATTATCACATTCTCCTTGCCTTATTTCATTTTCAAGTCAACTAAGTCATTCCTTGTTCAAATTTCAGACTAGGTCCAAGAGATTCTTGGACATACAGCAACTGAGAGAAATCAAGAAAGAATACGATTTGGCAACAGCAATATCACTACTCAAGCAAACATCGAAGACCAAATTTGTAGAAACTGCTGAAGCACATTTCCGTCTGAATATTGACCCAAAATATAATGATCAACAGCTCAGAGCTACTGTATGCTCTCTTGTTTCTGGTGCTCTTCCCTTCTGAGATGAAATCCTTAGTACTTTAACTCCTGTAATCCACTTTGTGGTCTTTATATATCAGGTGAATTTACCCAAGGGAACTGGGCAAACAGTTAAAGTCGCGGTTCTTACTCAAGGTACTTCCTTTTGCTGCTGCTGATTTTGTGTCTTAAGCTGTCGATGCATTATTTGTGGTTTACAGAAGATGATATTGAGAGAATGTAAGAAGTCCAGGTGTTGGTGTGGGCACTTTTCTGCCTTTGACTCATTTCTGGCCCTTGGTTATTGATCCACCGTCATTTGCTGTCCTTAGAAAAATAGCATTGTGAAGCTTAGATCCATTGCAGATGGTTCTCTTCGTACATGCTAATAATGCAAACGAATTTCATTAGACAATGTTGAATCTGATCATGTACCAAAATCATTTTTGTACCTTTGAGATAGGTTGGCAGTAGAGGGAAAGCGTGCAGTATGTATCTTGATAAGATGGGGATAGTATTTTTCTTTTTTGAACTTCTATGTGGTACTCTTCTTGAGTTCTGGCAACAAAGTTTCGTGGCTGGTAATGGAACTTCTCAATGGTGGGACTTTATCAAATAGTAAATCTTTTGAAAAAGGGGAAGAAAGTTCCATATCCCTCTGACTCGTAAACCTATTTGGTTTGATACTTAATTGAAAAGGAAGCACTTAAATATTTTTTTTAATTTTTTTTAGCTTTTTCACAGTTTTCAAATAATTTTCCTCAAGGTTTCTTTATTTGGAATCTGATTGTTGTAAACCCTATTTGTTTGATTATACTTTGTTTGAAATGGAAAATGATAAAATTTATTTGGATTTTGGTTTTGAAGTGTTTTAATTTATCCATCTACGTGTGTGTTTTATAAAATATGTCAGTGCAGCCATTGTCGTCGCTTGTGCATTTGAGATATTCGTTCATTTGTGTATAACAATGATATAAACTGAATTTTCTCTAGGTGAAAAGTTCGATGAAGCGAAAAGTGCAGGTGCTGACATTGTTGGTGGAGAGGACTTGATAGAACAGATTAAAGGAGGATATATGGATTTTGACAAGTTGATCGCAACACCGGATATGATGCCTAAGGTGTTCCTTTTGTATGGCTTTACTTAATAACATTGCATGTCTGCTTGACTTTCAGAGACTGTAATTCGGCACTAGGCCTTATTTTTGGAATGCCCTGTCTTTCTTTCTTGTAATTTTTAGTTCCTAGAATATTTTTTAGGTCTAGCTTTCTGGGTTTTCCTTACTTCTCTTTGATATCTCATCCATGTGTGAAAGTTTGTCTTATTTGAGCACCTAAGTCTGTTATTCATGGTTTTTGATGCTGCAGGTTGCTAGTCTTGGAAGAATTTTGGGACCTCGAGGACTAATGCCAAATCCAAAAGCCGGAACTGTGACCACAAATATACCACAGGTAAATCGTGGCTTCATGGTTGTTTTTTTGTCTCTTATTTTTAACTAATTGAACTAGAGGGTGAATACCTAAATTTGTTTTTGACCTCTAACTAATGTTTGAGATTTGGTTCAACTTGAATTCTTTCCGAAATATAAACAGGATAGTTAATATAATGAGTGAAAAATTCATGAAGAAATTGTCTTCTGACTAGAGATTAGTGACTAGATATTATAAGGAGTGAAAAATTCATGAAGAAATTGTCTTCTGACTAGAGATTAGTGACTTATATTTGATTAAATTTTGTGGGGCTATGTTTGTCCCTTTTTTTGTATTTTCGGTCATGCAAATGATCTGCTATTCAATGAGGTCCATTATCCATATTTCAGGCGATTGGGGAATTCAAGAAGGGAAAAGTTGAATACCGAGCAGATAAAACTGGGATTGTTCACTTACCTTTTGGAAAAGTAAATTTTTCAGAGGAAGATCTAATTGAGAACTTCCTTGCTGCTGTGGTAAAAGTTCTCTCCTTTCTCCGATTCTTTTTTTTTTTTTTTTCTCCATTGTTGTATGTAATAGTTTTCTTAATCCTTTTGAATTACCTTAAAACATATTCCTAAAATGTAACAGAAATCAGTGGAAGCAAACAAACCATCTGGTGCCAAAGGTGTCTACTGGAAAAGTGCTCATATATGTTCATCCATGGGACCTTCTATCCGGTTAAACATAAGGGAAATGCTAGACTACAAGCCTCCGTCCAAGGTATAAGGAACACACCAGAACCTGTAAATTGTATCTTCTAACATCTATCAGCTGTTCGGGAGCTTTGCTAAGAGATTCAGTTTCATAGATGAAGATAGGATATAAAGGTAGCATGAAGAGCAAAGTTTTCGATGAGCCCTTGAATTTTGTCTTTTGTTCAAGAAGCTGATATGCTCGTCTTGACTATGAATCAATCTTGTAATATTCCTTGTGTAATACCATCATCAATTGCAGTATTGTCTAAGCCGTTAGCTTTTTCCGAAACAGGTGATTTAGATTCCCTTGTTTATCTGATGAGTGAATTGATGTGTGAAGAATTCATATGCTTATTCTCCAATCTGAAAATTAGTTCAAGTTTCCCATTTCGAATGGTTGGTCTACACAACAAGATGGTTGTATGGTATAAAACTCTTCTTTTTCTCTTTTTCTTTTTTTTTTTTTTCCAAAAAAATAAGAAATAAAAACTCCCAACGATCCAATATCCTCCAAACAAATTATTAAGTACACAAATCCGTGTGCGATAAAAATAACCTACTTTCCGTTGCTGTTAATTTATTATACAGTTATTACAGTACTTTTGTGAGTTTTCAGGTGAAAATATTTAGAGGTGTGAATCACACTAGTCAATATATTTTTCAAGATTAAATTAAGTTTTGCGAGCACTATGTATATTTTCTTTTCTTAATGTTGCACCCATGTTAGCTTCGGCGTAAACTGTTTAATCTTTAGTGGACATTCCAAGATTTACAAAAAGAAAAACAAAAAGTTTGAGGGGACAAAAGTCAGTGTTGTCAGGCTCAGACCAGAGCTCGACTCGGCATGACCCAGGGTCGATTGAATCGGGGGTCGACTCGGATGACGTTATAATGACGTAATAAATACTAATTAATTAATAATTATATTTTAATTAGAATTTTATAAATTTTATATATAATTTTCAATTGTTGGAGTCAAATTAATACTTCATAATCTCCAAATGGGTGTCCATATAATCAAATTGAACTCATGAGGTCGATTATAATGATGTCATTATTACTAACTATATAATATTTAATTATTTAATATATTTAAAATTAAAAAGACTTAAACTTTATATCTCCCTTTGATTATTTTAGTTGATATTGATTTTTTCAGTAGTTAATTGTTATTCAAGTGAAATAAATTATTATACTAATAAAGTAATGAAGATAAACACATTATTACTTACAAAAAAAATATATTGAATTTGAAGGGCAATTTATATGCACATTAAGAAAAAGTACTCGGAGATTAATTTTTTGTGACATATTAGAGTTATCATATAAATTTTTCATAAAATGACGGAAGGAAGTTTTTGTAGCGAAATTAAAAAAATATTATTCAAAATATTATATTTGAAAATTGAAATTGAATATGGGGACTAAATATCAAATTAATACTTTAAAAGTACAACAAATTCAAAGTTGTTGGGCAATTTTGAACAAAAGAGAAAAAATTGGCCTTGGAAGACATTGGAACTTGAAATCTATGGGAAAATGTACAATTTTTGGGTCAAAAGTCAAAAAACATTAAAACCCCGGTTCAATCCGGTTTTAGTCGAGTCACGATTCGACCGGAGTTTCGACTGATTTTGACCGCTCTATTTTTTGGCAATTTTAACCTTTGCTCGGCTCGATATAGGGGCCGGTTCTAGATTTAACCGGTTCAGTCGGCCGGTCCGAGCCGAGCAGGACAACATTGACAAAAGTGGGTTGGACTGATAATAAAAACTCAAAATCTAAGATGAGGGACACAATTAATTAATTTGAGCTAGACAAAGTATTTTTTTTGTTTTTGTTTTTTTGAAATGGTAGACAGAGTATGATTAAGAGTCCAAAATAAGGATTATGAAAACATTTATGGGGAGAATTTCGAGTACGCAGTAATGGAGAGAAGGTTGTTGAAATTAGGGTTTCCATTGTGCAATGGATTGCGCGCTGCTCTTCCAAACTATCTCGGTTTCAAAGTGAAATGTGTTTTTCATAGAAAAATTGGCCGATCTACCTAAATTTTTGTATGCGTTGTCAATTCTACTCTATTTATTTTCAGTTAGCTAATATTATCCTAAATTATCTAACCGTTAGCCTATTTTGTTCAATTTGTCAATTTGCGTTTAAATTAACGCGGCAAATTATCTGGTACACCTGGGGGTACGGTGTCCCCCCATGCGCGTGTACCTCACTTTCTTACAATAGCGTTAGTCCGCTATATAATTCAGCTTTCTTTTTCTTTTTTTTTTAACTCGGAGTTATATAAATAACCGAATTCATTCAAATTTGTAAAACTTTGTGATAGAGTATTATTGATGGGAGATGGCCGGCGACGATCGAGGCATTGAGGCGGCAATGGGAGTCGGCGATCGTGGCGCTGAGGTGGACACGGCCGGCGGCGATCGAGTCTTTGAGACGGCGACAGCGTTCAGCTGTCACGGACAGTTTTTCTTCACCACGAATTCGGGTGGTTTGATGCGAAACGGGCTATTTTCGTAGACGGACATGGGACGGAACGGTCTAGAGCCTTGTGGAATTCTCCAGTCAAATCTTGAAGACTCTGGAATTTTCTAGAGAGGCCCGGAACTCTCTAGAAACGAGTGGAACCGTGTGGAAGCTACCCGAGTTTGCTAGAACCGTGTGGAAGATTCTAGAGACTTGTAGATATTTTGAACTTAGAATATTTTATTGTAGGAATTCTCTAGAATCCCATTATTTTATTATGTACATAGAATTCTCTAGAATTCTTTAGGACTTGGGGGTTTGCCTATAAATACCCCATGCCCCCCCCTCATTTGTAATCATCCAAGCTTTGAGTAGAGTTCTCAAGCATTCCTTAAGCTCTCTTGTGCCTTCATCATTCTTTCACTTTCAACCTTTCTTAAGTTTTTCTTTGCCTCCGTTCTTTAAAGTCTCGCCTAGCTTTGCACGCTTTGGGGGTCTTAAGGCTGAGCTAGCACTTGATCGTTAGTTGTTTTGTGCTAGTGCCGCACGGCCGTTACTTTGAAAAAGTAAGCCCGTGACAGTTAGTATCAGAGCCTCGGCTCGATACTTGGTGTGCTACATCGTCTACGCTTCCGTTTGTCGGTTTTCTTTCGTGCATAAGCTATGTCCAACCCTTCGGAGGTCGTTCAAGGGTCGGAGCTTGAGGGGATCACGTTTCCGCGAGGTGGGAGGACCACCCGCAAAGGAAGCCGCAAGGAGAAGTCGGTCGTTAGGGAGCCGATGGTGGAATTTGAGAAACGGCTTGCCAAGCTAGAGCTTGCGTGGCCGACCACCAAGACCGTTGGGACGAGCACCTGAGGTAGTAGCGGGGGTCGTCGAAGCTCGCATGGAGCGATTCGCAGGGAATTGCAAGAGGTCATGCAGCAAATGAAGGACGACATGCTAGGGACGCTCAACGAAATGGTGGAACGTTGCAACAAGTCGAAGGAGGAAAGCCTTGCTCGTGTTGCCGCCTCCAAGACGACATCAACCGGCTTATGGGGAGCTGGAGACTTCTCGGGCAGAATCGGCGCGTCTTAAGGCACGGCTTGACGCCGTGGCCGTGCAAGGGACAACCGGAGCCGTGGGGACGGTTCCAAGGCTTGAGGCGCCCAAGCCGGACGAATATAAGGGCAGCCGTCGCTTGAGGGACGTAGAGAACTTTCTCTACAGCATGGAACGGTACTTTGGGGCTATGAATATCATGGACGACTCGGTAAGACTCTTCCAAGCCTCTCTTTATCTTAAAGATAGTGCTTTATCATGGTGGAAACGTATGATGAAACCCGTGGGGGATGGAGACCCGGTCTTCACCACGTGGGATGGTTTTAAGGAAGAGTTTAGAAAGTATTTCCTACCGGTGGATGCGGAAGACGAAGCCGGGCCAAGCTTCGTAAATGCACCATAGGGAAGGCCAAATTCGGGAATACGTTAAGGAATTTTCGGACTTGATGCTTGAAATTCCGGATCTCTCGCCCAAGGAGGCGTTCTTTACTTTCATGGACGGTCTCAACCGTTGGGCCAAACTTGAGCTACAACGGAGAGAAGTCCAGGACATCGATCGGGCGTTAAAGGTGGCCGAGTCGCTTGTTGAGTTCCAAAAGAAGGATAGCTCCAAGGACAAGGGCAAGAAGCCGTTCCAAGGCAAAGGTGGGGGAGACAAAGGGAAGTCTTCCACACCCGTGAAGCCGGCAGCCGACTATACAAAGCCGTCTTCAAGCAAGGAGACCAAGGGGGACAAGCCAAAGAAGTTTCAAGGGTGCTTCTTGTGCGGGGGAGCGCACATGGCACGTGATTGCCCGTCTCGTTCAAAGTTGGCAGCATTGGCACAAGGTTTGTGCCAAGAAGAGGAGAAACGGGTCGCTTGCATGAAACGGCTAGATGCCGTGCATGCGAAGGCCGAGACACGTCAAGGCCGTCTTTACATGGAGGCATCGTTCGCAAACGGGTCTAGATGGGGCATGCTAGACACGGGGCCGACACGAGTTATCTCACGGAAGAGGTAGCCCGTTCGGTTGGCGTCAAGTGGACACCTAGCAAAGGCCGTTTCAAGGCGTGAACGGCGAATGGACGGGTCTTGTAGGCGAAGCCGAGGATGTGCCTCTTAAAATCGGCAAGCGGTCGAGTACGGCCAATTTCTCCATTGCACCTATGGATGATTATGGTCTTGTGTTTGGCATGGAGTTTTTAGACCAGGTAAAGCCGATCATCGTGCCTAGCAACGACACGATGGTGATCCTCCAAGGCGAAGCCTTGTGTGGTAAAGTTTAGACGGGAAAATGAGATTAGCCCTTCCCAGCTGAACAAGGGGCTAAAACGGGGTGAACACACCTTTGCCGCCATGGTGTTTGAGGAGGAACCATGCACAGAGGAGCCGGCAAAGGAGGAACGAATCCCGCCTCCCATAGAGCGAGTCCTTGTTGAGTTCAAGGACGTTATGCCCGACGATTTGCCCAAAGGTCTTCCACCAAGGAGGGAGGTTGATCGTGCCATCGAGTTGGTAGACGGGGCGAAACCGATAGCCAAGGTGCCTTATCGTATGTCCCCTAATGAGCTAGAGGAGCTCAAGGTGCAAATCAAGGAGCTACTTGAATCGGGTCATGCAAGGCCGTCTAAAAGTCCGTGGGGTTCGCCGGCCTTATTCCAACGCAAGAAAGATGGGACGCTACGTTTGTGCATCGACTATCGGGCGTTAAACAAACTAACCGTGAAGAACAAGTACCCTATCCCACTTATAGCGGACTTGTTCGACCGGCTGCAACGGGCACGGATCTTTTCCAAGCTAGACTTGCGGAAGGGATACTACCAAGTACGCATAGTACCCGGTGATGAACCGAAAACGGCCATGGTGACGAGGTATGGCTCTTATGAGTTTCTTGTTATGCCGTTCGGTT